CCCCTCCCATTGGAGACTGACTAAGTTTGTAACTCCATATTAAGAATGTGAGCTTATTTCATAACGCCTGCATTTGAGTGTGTCCCCTCGTTAAAACGCATCTCGCTTGTCAAGTTCAGTGACAGGCGATGCAGCTTGGACTCGTGAGTGTAATGAGTGAATAAAAAGGGTTGAATGAGGGGGCGGGGCTTAATAGCGACCTACATCAAGGATCTCAGCCACTCGGCAGTGCACATCCAGAAAGACTGGATTCGGTAGCTCAGTAACTCCAGGGTCGGCAGATTCAAACTGTATGGTTTGAAGATAGCCATGAAGTTGACTGAGGGCGGGGTTCAATGCGTGAAACCAGCGAAGGCGGTTCGATTTATTCTAAAGGCTTAAGCTGCGATTCCGTTGTTCAATAAAGACCTTGACACTTACCGAAAGATACATTGGCTCAAGAGCGAAACCAAATGCCCCAAAAATCAGCATGAACGGGCATGGTCATCATGAGACCGTTGCCGGTCTTATTAACCGTATCAGAGCTGATCTTGAGTTTGAGGTCAGGGAAGTATCTCCATAATGTCCACCATATCTTGGACTTGGCGTGTATCTTTACTTTTGTTGGCTTGACGAAGTCTCTCTTGGGAAGATCAGAATGTCTCACCTACACAAATTTGTGTCAGTCGAAATCTCCAATCGAGAACGGGATTCTGTAGGCACAGTGCAACTCTTCCATGTTGACGATGGGCATCTGGCCCGGCCGCGTAATGTCATGCTCTACTGCTCCTTTTTTTTTTTTTCATTGTGCCCGTGATGATACACCTGCCCGCGTCCCGGCGGGGACACTCTCTTTTCAGCTTATTATCGCGGACTGAAGGGTCGAGTTGCCTCGCGAGTGACTTCCAGTCGCTACTACCATCGTCATCGGGACCAGAGACGAGTGAAATGACATCTCCAACTTTAGTTCGTCTCCGTGCCTTTGACTGTGGAGATGTAAAGTGTCAGCTTCGATGCGAAGAAGAGTGGGATGAACTCGTGGATATACGTGGGATCAAAATCGCGTCGATGGGGGAAATCGCGCAGCTGGCTTGGCTTTATTGGATGACTCTGGTGTCGGATGATTTCCGCCAAAAAAGTTCCAGTTGGTCATTTACTGGCAGCTTGTCGGCAAAGAGATGCAACACTTTTCGCGAGTCATCGTTGTCGCCAAGGGGAGTGTACTGGGATAGCAGCTCGAGAACGACGATGCGGATGTCAGGTCTGTGTTGATGACAGTCTCCGCATCTGTTTCTTGGTCAGGATGGTCCACAAGCTGGTATGACGTCTCGTTTGAGTCCTTGTTGGTGGCTTGCTTGTATCTGATGCGAGTCACCGGAAGCCCTTTGGCAGACGTTTAAAAGAACTGTCCCCAGGCAGGCCCCAGAAAATGGGTATTTTCCACGTTGTTTCCTCTCCCCTCATATACCTTCGTGGGTAAGTACAGCCAGTAACTAGTCGAAGCAGGTTCAGCGTGGGATGCTTTCCAAAGACCTTGATAAAACCATGCGGCTGGAGTTGCCTCTGTCTTGACGATGCTGCAAACGAATATGTGTTATTGGATTCTTCTATCCCTTTCCCATGCACCAATGCTATCCAGAACACTTTGCCAGGACAAACCTCGCCTGTGCCTCTTTCATTATATATGTCATTTGTGTTTCCACACACACCAGGAGCCCAGCCCAGTTCAGTCAGTCAGTCAGTCACTCATGCTCATATCATTAATTACAACACAAGGCACACATACTACATCCCACATGCGTAAACAACCCCCGCCGTCCGCAGACAGGTACGTCGTCACTCATCTCACCAACCATCCACGACCTTGACGTACACATGCAACCCCTTTGACGGACGCGCCGTGACACCGCCCTTGATGGTCATCTTCTTCTCATCGTACTCCTCCTTGTTCTTGAGGCTGAACTCGAAACGCCCAATCCACGAGGCGAGGATGCACGCAAACTCGGCCTTTGCGAATCCCTGCCCGATGCAGCTCCGGGGCCCGTGGAGGAACGTCATGAAGGCGTAGTTACTGGTCGCCCCGCCGCTGTTCGCCGTCTTCTTGCTCTCGGCGTCGCCGTCGCGGGAGGGGAGCCACCTGTCTGGGTTGAAGCGTCCCGCGTCGGCGCCCCAGAGTGAGGCGTCCTTGTTGGTGGCCCACGGGCAGAGCATAATGCGGGTGCCCTTGGGCACCTTATTGCCATCAATGACGGTGTCGACAGCGGCCTCGCGGAGTGTCATGGGCACCGGGGAGTAGTAGCGAAGGACCTCGTTACAGACGGCGTTGAGGTAGGGCATGTGGTCAATGTCGAGAGCCGTGATGTCGCCGGGCGTGCCAGGGGTGGGGAGGCGTTCGCGGATCTCGAGACGGAGGCGGGACTGGACCTCCGGGTTGAGGCAGAGGCAGTAGACGGCCCACATCATGGCCGCGGCCGTGGTTTCATGGCCCGCGGCGAGGAAGGTCATCATCTGGTCGACGAGGTTGTCCTCGGTGAAGTAGCCGGACTCGAGCGCCACAGACAGGATGTCAATGTCGGTGAGCTGCTTGCGCTCCAGCTTCTCCTTCTTCTCGCGGATGAGCTCGCGGCAGGTGGCCCTGATGGTGTTGGCGGCCTTTGCAATGTCGCCGTTGCGCTGCAGGGGAAGGTGGTGGACGAGGGAAGCCGGGAGGAGGAGGCCGAGGACGGCGAGGACCTGCGCCTGGCGGCTCGGTTTGAAGACTTGCTGGTAGGTCTGGTTCAGGGGGTTCGACGGGTCACGGATAGCGCCAAAGTCGCGGCCCATACCGGCCATGCCGATGATGTCGAGCGTGGTGCGCGATGCCCAGTTGCCAATCTCCAGGACAGCGGTGTTGGGGCCCAGGGCGGCCTTCTCGGGGTCGGTGAGCCCTTCGGTTGCGCCCTTTGCGGCCTCGGCGTGGACGGCGTCGGTGATGGCCTGGACGCCCTCGCACGCCTTGCTCCAGAAGAGCGGGTACAGGTCCTTGACGTGGCGGAAGGCGAAGGCAGGCATGAGGTTCTTGCGCTGGACCTTGTGGTCGTCACCCTCGGCCAGCAACACGCCGATGCCGAGGATGCGGCCGATGGATGAGCGGACGGCGCCAGGCTTGCGGAAGTCGTAGTTGTGCGTGACGAGCACCTCGGCGAGGGCCTTGGGCGACGTGATCAGGAGTCGCTCCTGGTTGAACAAGCCACGGTAGCGGATGATGCCTTCGTGAGGGATGGTGTTGATCCTGAGGGGCACACATGTTCAGTCTCTCAGGTCTTGAAATCACATGCAAAAGGATGTTTGCAGTCTCTCTCTCTCTCTCTCTCTCTCTCTCTTTCTCTGGTGTTCTACTCACCATTCGATCATGGGCACGCCAGTCGGCTCGCGCATAATCCTCGGGTACTGTCCCATCAACCAGTGATCATCTTTGGGGCCTGGGAGCGACCGCAAGGACGAGAAGTACTGGGGGAACAAGAAGACGACAAAGATGCCCCAAGACACCATCTGGAACGCAAAGGCGCCCACGAAGGCGACCAGTAGGTGGCATCTCGAGAATACTGGCTGTCGCAGGGCCAACAATACGGCGATGACAGCCGAGCTGACGGACACTCCGCGCCAGGGGATGCTCATTATGACGGCTATTTTTCCTACTGTTTTCTAGAAGTGCGACGCCTGTGTAGTTGGTTTTTCTTTGATGACGACTACAACTCCGACGTTGCGACGGAAACGCGAGCTGTTTGGAGCTTCGAGGTGGGCAAGGCAAGGGTTGTCAAAGACGCCGTCTGTTCAAACTCAAGAAACGTCTCGTGAAAGGACGTCAACGTCGAAAAGCGCGCGGAGCCGGCTTGTTGATGCTTTCCGCTTGCTTTCCCCTTTGGCCTGGGAGTTTGTGAGTAAGTCGAGCACCTTTTTCCAACAAAAGAGCAGATGAAGAAGCCAGAGGGCCGTATAAGCTCCCGGATAAGGGTAAGGTTATGTGAGGTAAATGACCAAAAAAAAAAAAGCAAAAAAAGGATCAAAGCTGCTTTCTTGAGTTTAAGCTCCAGTAGAAGGAAAAGAGGTGGTGTGTGTGTGGTAGAAAAAGGCAGCAGGGCGAGGTAGATACCGCGTGCGTGGAATGAGGGCCGGGTCGATCGGTTTCATGCGTACGGGGTTACAGACATGGAACCAAAGCATCGCCAGCACACGTGCGCACCAGGCAAAAGAGAGAGAGAGAGAGACAGACGGAGAAGGCCCACGCACATACCGCGCTTGGGTTTTTTTTTGTGTAAAATCTTATCTATTGCCGTTCTGCTGTTCAGTCCGTAAGATAAAGTAGACACTGGGTTCCTCCAAGACTCCGTTCTTGGTCGTCCCTTCAGACGAGGGGCTGTGCGTGGGGTGGGAGTTAGGCGTTGGAGACAGAGATGGGCGAGACGATGGGGAACGGAGTTGGGATGAGACGAGACGCGACAGGATACCAGGGTTAGAAAGGGCGAAGCTTCAAACGACGACCACTTATTGCAATCTGGTTTCTTTAACCCAAAAGATACGAGTACCGTGGACGTCTGATTGAGTCTTTTGAACGGAAAGAATTGAACATACGGAAAGAATTCTCTCTAGTGAAGTATCTAATATACGCCAGAAACACGTGTCTCCCGAGGTCGACAAGCGGCAAGTGGAGGAGGAGGACGTTCACCAAAGTAGTAGAAACAAGGTGGATGCTGTGGGACAGAGCCGGAGTGATGACAATGACCCGGTCTGCCGTTGGCTGCCCGCCTGATTCCCGGAGCACCTAGCGGTTTTCTTGGCTTTCCTGCAGCTCGGTGAGAAGAGAGAGTTCGGTTCGATTGCTCGACCAGAGAGCTGTACGTATTTCGCCCCCTCTTCTTGCTTGGTTCTTCTTCTTCTTCTTCCAAGCTCCTATTGCGTCTTAGTGGGG